TAGAATATATATACATATATATAGGTACGTTCTGAACGACGCCTCGAGATCAACTGCACGCAAAGCCAGAGTTTATTTTTTTAGTTTAGTTTCATTTTTTTAGACAAAAGACAATCACACACACACACATCTCACAGCATTCAGCGATATATTCCGACACATTCCTTTATATTAGTTTTTTATATTGCACTGGTATAAATTTTTAAAAAAGTTTTAATGAAGAGCAAGCATAACGATTGATTGTATTTTTCTGCATTCACTGTAATATATTTGTTTGTCGTCTTAACTTAATGAGAAAAACTGTTTGTTATAAAGTTAGGATATATTCTGCGGTACTCCGCTGAATTTAAGCATTGTTTTATTTCTAACATTATGAACAATTCTCGATATTGAACTAATGTTAAAAATCAATCAATCAATCAAAATGGTTCTTACTAATTAAGATAGTCACATTAAAGAAAGAATAAAATTAGTAGCTATAGTAAAGTAATACAATATGTGTACGCAATACAACAATTTGATTTTTTCTTGTACTAGAAAAATACATTTTGGTAGTACATAGAACTGTTTAGAAAAAGCATATAAGCTAAATGTATAATATCACATAATTAGATCGCATATCTATAGATTATATGTCTATATCTAAAATTTCACAAAATGAAAGACAGAATTGTATTAAAAAAAAAAAAAAACCGAAAAAAATCAACATCACAGAAAAATTTCTCAATAAGTAAGAAAAATCATGGTAGATATCTGATAGATATGGTCAGGATTTAATTCTTTCGTTACATTGCGCTCATTATGTTTGTAGAAGAACAAAAATTCATAAATATCCACGATCTTATCATGTTTTTCAAATTACGTTCGATTGTAAGTAGACAATGAAACTGAATTTTGAATTTATTAAAATGTAATATCGTAGTAGAAATTAATATTCTTAATATTTTTTTCAGTGCTAAAAAACATCCCATTCTCTCTTACTGGGGTTATCTATTTGTTCTATCAAAGCTAGTTGAATTCGGCGACACATTCTTCATTGTGTTACGAAAACAACCGTTAATATTTCTACACTGGTACCACCATATTGTGACATTTCTTTACGGCTGGCTCTCCTACGTAGAAGAAGCAGAATATGTCAAGTGGTTTGCTGTTATGAACGGTATTATTCACAGCTGTATGTACACTTATTACACCGCCAAAGCAATGGGATTCCGTCTACCAAAATGGATATCCATGGCGATCACTTTGATACAATTATCACAAATGTTTGTGGGCACTTTCCTAGCTATGTTAATTTACTATTATGAATACATCGCTAAAATTAAATGTCACATTACCACGCTGAACATCATTGTCGTTACAATCATGTACATCAGTTATGCCATTCTTTTTGCTAGATTTTTCATACAGACGTATTTATCTGACAAATCTGTAAAGAACATCGGAAAAGAAACCGATGCCAATAGCAAGTTAAAAGCTACCTGAAACACGAATTGAGAATTTTTGAATATATTTCAGTATATGTTGATTTATATTTATAAACATTATTCATGACATACTTTTTTCGAATTTGCTAAAATTTCGTTTACACTAAATAATTTTTAGTTTGATCATCAATTCAGTTGTATTTCTAAATTTGATTGTGTTAAACAAAAATATTCTGTACATATGAAAGTTCGATCTTCTTCTTCCATATTTTGATTCCATAGAAAGATGGAACCAAAAAAATATTAAAATTTGTAAAGAAGGATATTATT